TGGCCAACTTGGCGGAGAAATCAGCTGATTGAACTGGAATCAAACTGCATTCGCTCGGCTGGCGGCTACAGTGATCAGGCCTCAGACAGCAAAAGCCCCGGAAAGCGAAGTGACATGGCCCAGGGCCCTGGCAAGTGTACCAATGTGCCCTGAAGTGCGTGACGTGCTGCAGATCCCCCCCTGCGCTGATCATTGCAAAGCCTGGGGGACAATTGGCACAAGGTCAGCGACCTGCGAATTGCGAGCTGTCAAGCGGCGCTCGGTCGACTGGCCGGCCAGCAGCCATTTAGGGGAGACAACATCATCCACTTTTGATAATTCAAATTCCAGCGGACTGCAAATTCGCATGGACCGACCACTCCTGCCATGTGCGAGTGCAGCATGGACCAGCATTTCGTCCGCTGCTCAAAGCTCGCCTGAATCAGGTCCTGACAGAGCAAAATTCAAGGAGCCAAAGCGCGGAGTGGTTCGCGCCCGCGATCTGGCTCAAAAATGGGGATCCAAAATGGAATGGTCAGTGGAGACATGGACCAAAACCTGCGGTTTGCCCCTCCTGGTGAATTTTGAGCCACACCCATTTGACTCACATTCGGCCCTGGTCCTCCACCGCCACGAAGACCTCAACGCCATCGACGACAGCGATGCTCTTGCGTTCTCCTGGTCTGATTCTAGATGGATCGTCCTGGGGCCAAACTCTGCACTCTCACTCCGCGCAGCTCGACGAGGTGGGTTGGCTTTTTTTTGGCCGGGCCCCGCAAAATGGCGCGAAGGGTTTTCCTTTCGGTTTCCCAAGACCACCAACAGCGGGTGACTCCAAAACAGGGCTGTGGGATCAAGGGTTTGAACCCCACTTCTGCGATACCAGGGAATCTCCCCCTGTATATGGGCTTTGTCTTTGGGAAGCCAACGTGTGGTTGTAAGTGGATTCCATTTCCCACAGCGCTCAAAGATACGCCATCCGCCGGCTCCGGGGCAAATCCGTCCGAGCCGCAATTGGGGTCCCGTGGTCCCCTCGGAGATGCTCTTGAATCACCCACTGGCCGCCAGCAGAACGCACGCGCGACTGGCAGACCGCGTTGGCGAAGTAAGCCTCAGGCGTCATGGGAAACCCATGAAGGTATCGAACCACGATTCGTGCGGCTCCAGTTGCGATCATCAGTTCGGCCATAATGAACCTCACACACGCAGAACATGTTGGAGATTGGCATTGCATTGTGGCAAGGGGCCAAAGCAGAAAGACCACATATCCAGTCACCACGCCTCAGACTCACCAAACAAATGCCGTGCGCCGTGCGGCCCATTCGCTTCCATTTCGCCCGGGCACGGCCAAGCTGGTTCCAGCCGTGGGGGAACTCCTTAGTGAGAAAGCAAAGGACCCACAAAACCGGCAGCAGGCCTTCTCCGAAACATGGGAACATTGGGTGGGGGGGTGGGGGGGAGTCCCCCTAGCTTTTTGTTGAGAGAAACATCAGCCCTCAATGAAGCAACACCTGCAATCACGTCGTCTCGAATTGGGCGTCCTCGTTTGAAAACGAGCCCTTTTGGCAGTCCCATCTCGAAACCAACCATTTTTTTTTTGGGGGGGGGGAGGAAGGTTCCGCGGGGGTTCTGCGGTTTTTGTTGTTGTTTTTTGAGCCACAATTCGACCAAGAGTCTCCCAGCAAAGGATTCACCATGAAGTGGATGAGAACCTCCTCCGCACCACTAAAGATCAGCACGGCCTCAAAGGCGCGGCGCGTTTCTGGCCGGGGAATGAGACGTGGAGGGACCCCCCGATTTAAACCATGCGACGGGTGGTTTCCTGAAAATTCGGGAATCCCCCTTGCAGTGCATTCCAATCCTCATTCCCTACCTATAGCAAACCATCCAAGCTATGCAGGCTGTCTGGGCTAGGATGCAACGTCTGTCCTTTCGAGGCCCAAACGGTGAAAATGGAGATCGTCGTGTTGATGATGGACCAGGAGTATCGCCTATCAAAAACGTGTGTCAAAACAAATGCCGCGATTTTGGTCCAAAGATCGCACAGCCCGCAGTCGCAGTGCAAAGTTTGTGGCATTGGACATTCCTGGGGCAGCGGCTTAATGTCGTCGTCTGGATAGTTTACCAAGTAGAAAATTACCTAAGGCGTGCGCTCAAACTCTCGCGATCTTAGCGCTTCCACATGTCAACGGCCATGGTGTCCATTTTGCCCCTGAAAGACCTGGCCTCAATAAAGGGGCAACAAGGCAAAAGCAGAGGGGTGAAAGGACAAGTGAGTCACAATCAAAACCGATCGGTATCAAAATGGTCTAGCCAAGGCCATGTCGGGAAATTAAAAGGCGGACGCATCTATGCCTGGCTGGGATTATCGCTTACGAACCTTCACCTACCCGGGTTTTGAGCACGTGGCTCACTTCTTGACTTTGGCACCATGGCAAGAGCGGACATCGAAGCGCCAGGCTGCCATGATGAACAAAAACATGCCCATGAGCATGAAGCTGCAGCTGATATCCACCCTGGTAAATTCCTCCTGGACATGCTTTTCTCGACAGGGCAAAAACATGCACCAGCATACCCAGATAGCCTGGGATTTAGACGTAACCCCTGTTGCTAAAGGGCTGTGGCTCAAAAAACCTGTACCAAAATGGAACCCTGATAAGTGGAAACATGCCTGCGGTTTGCCCCTCCTGTTGAATTTTGAGCCACACCCAAAATAAAGCTATCTTGGCGAACAAACAAAACAACCGCGCGTGGGTCAAAAATAGGTACCGAAAATGGGTCCCTGGTAAATGGAAACATGGACCAAAAAACCTGCGGTCCAATTCCTGGTGGTTTGATTTTGACCCATAGCCAACCAGCTCCTCCTCCTGTAGCCCATGAGCTCCCTCTGCAACTCCTGCGAAGAAAAAACAAACTTTGCCCCGGATCAAAATGTGTCGGGCCCGATGCACATTTTGGTCGTCCTTCGGGAATCGGCTGCCACCGGGGCAAGAAGCTGTCGACTTCATGCCCTGCAAAGTCCCCCAAATCCCCGTCCGCAGACCCTTGCAGAGGAAGCCAAAAGAAAGCCAAAAAGCTCCAACTCCGACTTGGCGGCGGTTTCCCCCCCTTTTTTTCGGCCTCGCCCCGGGCCCCCCAAAATGGATCTCGGGGTTTCCCTTTTGGCTCAGCCAACAAAGACGGGCAACCCAAAGGCCCCGAGCCTTAGAACCCATGAGTCGACGCCCGCCTGGCTCATGGGCCTCGCAGTAATGTTCACCCAGACCGACTTGGGAGTGGCTCAAAAAAAAACGATCGGAGGGGCAAACCGCGGGCTTTGAAGTCCATGGCTTTCCACTTGCCAGGGCAACCCATTTTGGCATTCCGGTTCTTGTTGAGCCATTTTAGCCAAAACATTGAACGACTTGCGTACCTTCGAGTGACTCAAGTCGTTTTGCCGCGATCCGGCAGGGGTCCAACAGGGATCTCTCTTTCGGCGAGAGGACACCTGCATTTCCGTTTGTAATGTTTCTCAGGTATCCGCAGTGTTCAGTTCTAAACAAATCCAAGCGAAGGAACACCTGTACAGCTTTGTTCTCTTGATCACAACCTCAACCTTGCTGTAGTGGCCCCGCCAGAATTGGATCGAAATGTTCAAAGGATTGTTGTTGAACGAAAAGCTCGCAGGTCAGAAACTGAAAGACTTACACTAGTCACAGTCCCTTTTCAGCTCCCTCCTGACCGCTCTCCCGTGGAGTCGACTGAGTGCCTCCTTCCACGGCCTTTGACAAACCCGTCGCCAGTCACTCCGATCACGACCACGGTTAGACACAAGCCAATCCCGCAAGCGGCCGTTTCCAAAATGAACTCAACTGAAGGCCGCGCTGTCGCGCGCTGAATCGGCCTTCGCCAAGGCGAGGAGTAAAATGAGCACCAGGCCCGGCACTTTGGCCATTTGAGTCTGAAAAGTATCTACTCTTGATGTACTCAAGCAAACCTATTTATGGCGGGCAACCAGAACTGCGCTCACAAATTGCATGAGCAATCCTGTATGGCAAGCAACCAGGACTGTGCTCACGTTCCCATGCATGCTTTCCTCGGCCCTCTTGTCTTTTAACCGATCTGCCGAACCTACTTTGGGCCAGGCTGCGGTGATGCGAATCCCGAACTCAACTCACCTCGTGCGAAGCGGCAACTGCGGTCGCGACAGGTGCTGACGGTTGAAGTAGACGTCGCCCTCGATCTCCGGGCAGGCGATAAAGCCGAAGCCTGACTCATAACGATTCAGTTCAGCGGGGGCTTTACATGATTCGGTTTTTTTGGTGGGTATGTTTCCGGGGGTATGTTGCGGGTAAGTCGAGCATGCCCTGTCTTGCGCCTTTTGCTGAGGTTTTCAGACAGGCCGATATACGGCTTGGCATTTATTTGGGAATAATGTGCAATATAATACACCGGAGAAGCAGCGGGCGCATCTTCTGCAGGACCCCACGTGACAACTGCGTCCAGTAACAAGTCTGCAAGTGACTGATGCTGTTCCGGGTGTTTCTCTGCGTCCATCCCGGAGCTCACGCGGGGCAACACATAAACACAAGTGGGCTTCCCCGTCACATCTCAACGCAAGGACCCTTCGTGCGACTCCTAAAAAAAAAGATCCGTCCTTTCTGCGCGTTGAAGGTTTTGATCACGCCCTGTACCGCGCCTCAGAGCATCTGGCATGTTGCAATCGAGCGCGCCTGATGTCAACTGCCAGTCGTTGCCCTTTGCTACAAGCGCTCGGCGCCCAAAGTGAGCTCCGCACCAGCCATCTTCTCGGGTCTTGCACTTCAAGTCACGGCGTGCCACGGAGCTTTCACGTCTGTCATGTCTGACCCATTTAGTGGTCTCTGTCCAACGTGCGTGGTGTTGCGTGGGGTTGATAGGAATATTTGTCGTCCGTAGGCGCATTTCTTATTACGCTTTTTCGAGCCGGTCGGCAGAGCACAGTCAGGGAAGGCCACTCGGGCACTCAAACACGATTGCTCTCTTCGCCTATTGCCCCAGGCCTTGAGGTATTTGGCGAAGCCAAAGTCTGTTAGCTTCAAGTGCCCGGACCTCAACTCGCGCAAAAGCCACAAGTCTTTTTGTGCCCGCCGCAACTTTCTATATACCCTCCCACCAATTAACATGGAACCTGACCGGGGGGGGGGGCTCCTGGAAGGTACTTGTCCTTTTCAAGGGCCCCCTTGTCAGCTTTCATTTCACTTGGTGGGAGGGTCTCCCTGCCTGGCGCCTGCCTATCACATCTGGTGCTTTGTTCGACCCGACCGCGCATCCGACCGGCCCCCGCGCTTCGAAGCTTTGGGCTCCAAGCTTGTGCACCAAGATGTTCTCCGGCTTCAGGTCCCTGCGCTTCTTCTGATTATTTTTTCTCTGATTGAAACGGGCGTGGCAAAACGCGCAGCCGTTTTTTTCGACACCAAGAGGCGGTTGAGTGATGTGTTGTTTGTTTGTTTTTGTTTTTTTTTAACCAGGAGACCGCCAAAAGGAACACGCGATACCTTTTGGGGAGTCTCTAAAACAAAGGTGCCACAAACGTTGGGCTTTCTCTCTGGATGTGCGCCTGAAGACGACCAGCATACTGTGCAGGTGAAGCAAAGCGGAGGCCATCTGCGCAGAGCGAGAGAGAGAGAGAGAGACCATCTTGAAACCTTCGAGCTATTCAAGGTATACGAAGATATGAAACCGAAGCTGGGAGGGTCTCAATTTGTTTTTATTAATTAAAAAAACTACCGACCCCTCTGGGGAACGCTCAAATGCCCAAATGGAGTGCAGTCATGCAAACTCGAGACAAGCACTGGAGTTCCAAAAAAGTCTGCGCCAACCACGAAAGAATCTACACAGTCCACCTGGCTGTGGCTCAAAAACGAAGAGCACTGGTTACGCAGGTTTTTGCCTTTGCTGTAGTTCCATTTAACACGGTGCCATTTTGAGTGTCCCTCTATTTACTCTATTTCGATGTTTTGGGTTTGGGATCGGACAATCAACAGCTCAATGTGACAGTATGACATTGCCTTCCAAAAACATTCTGCGTACCACTGCAAAGTGCTGATCACGGCCAATTCAGTGTGCGTCCTCTGCAGCAAAGAATCTGCTAGCATGCTCCTCAAACCTAAGCATCACAGTCTCACTGCACTTCGAGCGGTTGCGAGTTCATTTTGCAGCTCTATGTGGCCATGGGTCAAAATCCAAATCGTACCCCCAGTGAACATCCCAAACCCCGCTAAAATAGGTTCTAAAATGGGTGATGAATTCACCTACCCCAAAATGGGATCCCAAAACGGTTTTGGCCCACAGCCATGTGACTGATACTGCTTGTCTCCAAAGCAGTCAGGCAGCTTTTTCTTGGCTCGGAGAAGGGTGAAGAGCTCTCCCCCTGCGCCCCGCGACTTGCATCTGCATCCCCTCTCTGCGTGTTGGAGATCACGCCAGACGGAACACAGCGGAGCAGCCTATCACCAGCTCCATGGCGATGTACAGGCGATGGGTGTCCTGGCGCCGCCTTCTGTCTAAAAAGTTGGGAGTCAGTTATGTTGAAATCCTGGAAGGTGTCTAGCACGCGGATCATGAAAGGAGAGCTGACACCTGGGCTTCAGGTCGCAGAATACAACTTCAACCCGTGCAAGTCATTAGCGGTGTACAACTCCGAGCGAGCCAGCGCTTGCTCCCCAAAAATCCGCCACTTGGCCGCAAGCTGGTCAGCACATTCTTCTCATTCACCACATGCTCGGCCTACGGCTTCGGCATCGGCTGCGCGGGAGGCGGTCCCCAGTCGTGCCTGCTCCAGTTCAATGACCGCCGTCTTTCTAAGCACCTCGAGGCATGGGAGCTACGAGGCTCGCCAGAAACGCCGGCGATGCCGTCGATGCTTTCCAACCGGAAAAGAAAACCGTGCTCATGCACAAGCTCGTATTGCCCTCACGGCATGACCTCGCCATGTTGCAAAATAACCCATGCGTCTCCATGAAAAGCAAGCCAGCAAGCAAGCCAGCAAGCAAGCCAGCAAGCAAGCAAGCAAGCAAGCAAGGTAGAACCGGAGGAGAGCGAGCAAGCACAGGAGAGAGCGAGCAAGAGCGAGCAAGAGCGAGCAAAAGAAGCGCAACATCAAGCAGCAAAGCCAAGTCAAGCTCACCGAGGGAAAGCAAAACATAGTCCATCTCACAAGGCCAAGCAGGAGCTTCTGCGAAGCTGGAAGGTGCTTCTTCTAAAGCTTGAAAAGAACGTGCCCTAACTTGCTGGTGCTCGCCATATTTCCAAATTCTATTGGCGGGTATTAGTGAGTGAAACGAGCGGAAATGAAGACAGGCACTCAAGGTCCTTTCTATAGCCTGTCTATTCCCATCTCATCTGTTCACCCTTCGGCATTTCCAGGACAAGGTAGGGAAATGATGGTGAAGGCATAGGAAAGGCTTTCTCTTAACCAATTACCTGCCTTTCCTAGCACCAGTATCTGGACTACACGGCAGGTGATGAAAGGATGAAGATAGAGATGAAAGGATGGGAATGGCATAGGCGAGTCGCTTTCATTTGGTTAAATTTCAGCAGGGGATGAGGGAATGACCCCGATTGAAACCCTCCCCTATGGTTTCCTTTATTCGGGAATCCCGTTCCAATTCTCATGCCCTGCATCTCTCGCACCGATCGCACCGATCACACGTGCCAGCTCGCGTCCCCCCCCCCAGCCATCCCCCCCCCTCCCTCCCTCAGCTTCGCTCGAGTCTCCAGGACCCCCCGCCTTGAGGCAAATCGGCAGATCCCGCTGCTCCTTGAGCTCCGCGATCTTCACCGTGGCGAAGCGGCCCTCCACGCCGCTCGCATCCGCTAACGCGATCGCGCGCTCGCGGCTCGCGCGTTTGGGGGAGCAGAACCACACATCTTGCCGCAAACTGTGAGACCCCTTGGGACACGGTTTTCTGGGCTTCAAGCCTTAAAAGGACAAAATTCCTTTTTGGGTCCCCAATTTTTGAGAACCACTTGGAAGGTACAAGCTGGCAGAGGGGGAAGACCTCTTTGCCAGCTCTGGTCTGTCTTTTTTTTCGTTTCGCATCGGACCTTCGGCCAGCCGCAGAATTCGGAACGCGGTCCGGGCGTTCCGCGCCGGCGAACGCCGGCGGGGACCCCTCTCTCGTCTATGGACAGAAGGGTTGATCAAAAGCTGTGCATGGGATCATAGGTTGCGGAAAACCCCCCAAAATAATAGATGTCAATCACATGGGAAAAGCTACCCATGGTCATTTGGGGCCCCGGAATGGAAGATTGATCAACCCCCACATGGAGACCGGACCTTACCTCTGTGCATCGAATTCTCTAAGTGCTTAACGTGGAAGATCAGGCAAATTCTGTCTGTGCTCCACCTCCAGACTTTCGTGAGCTTTACCGGAATAAAACTGGGAATCACGTGCGCCAGCAACCTCTGCCGATGTCAAACTGCTTCGAAAGCTGCACAGTGAGCCTCGTACTTGATGCAGATTAAAACTTTGAAGCTGGTGCACCATTGGCACCGGCGCTCATACACAAGACAATTGCTCTCAGGATGTTGCCGTCTTTTGCAGACTCAGCGGTAGGGGCCCTCCTCCTCCGCCTGGAAAAGCAAAAAAAACCGACGAGGCGCGCTGGCGCACGAGGCTTTGTGAAAGCTCGCCTGGATGATTCTCTCGATGGTGCCCTGGCGTCAGCTCAACACAAAGTGATTCCGCAAGACTCTGGCGACCTTCTTCCGGGCAAAAAAAGAAAAAAAGGAGAAACACAAAACATCGCAAAGAAAAAAAAAAAAAAAAACACGGCGGTCCGATTGTTTTCCCCCCTTTTTTTCCCTCACGGAAGCCGGGGCGGCGAGAAAAAAAACAAAAAACGCTCCGCGTCCAGTCGTCCCGTCGGAGCCCCCGTGGCCTTGGAGCTGCGGCGCTGCCAAAAGTCCTCCGCGCCACCGGCGCCCCGCGGCAGATTCCCCGGCGGCGTGCTGCCGCCGCGCGCCAGGTGGTCCTGCAGCCAGAACTTCCACGCCTCCTGCAGCAGCTCCTGCCGAATTCCGGCGCCGGCTCGGCTCGGAAGCAGAGCCCTGGCCAGAGGTGAGACCGTTCATAGGTCAAAGAGAACAACTTCGCAAAGGAAAATCGCTCCTGGTGAAAAACAAAACAGAAGAAAGACCTGCGGTCCAATTTCTGATGGTTAATTTTCACCCATACCCTGGTAACCTTTCTGGGCCCTCTATTTTTTAAGCAACCCCCACCAAAAAGGACACCAAAAAGTGCCTTGCCATCTTGCGTCTTGCGCAAACAGCCGTTCCCTTGGTGTCCTTGGAAGCCTTGGGCATGGCCGCGCACTTGGCGCCCGCCATGTTGGTCTTCAGCAGATGCTTGGAGCTGAACATCATGGCGTGATTCCTACGGTGGGGGCTGACCAAACGGTCCTGTACATTGTTTGGACACCCACTAAAGAGAGTTGATATGTCCCACATGGCCATGGGTCAAACTTCTGTGCTAAAATAGACTAAAATGGGTGGTGCACATACCCCAAAATGGTACCATTGGTTTTGACCACAGCCACATGGGAAAAGCTACCCATGGTCACTTGGAGGCCCTAAATGGAATATTCATCAACCCCCACGTGACCAACCAGAACTGCCCCAACTTCGGAGGGCAATTGTTTCGACCGACGCATGTCGCAAATCCACTTATCTTGGCGCTCGACTCGATGCTGCGGCGGATGTTCATAGAGATGCCAATGTACATAACCACGCCCTTATGGTTGTAGATGCAGTAGAGGCCCTGGTCCTAATCGAGGAGACTTTGTGACTGCAAGCAAGGGGTTTCAAAACCCCGCTCCTGAGGCATGTCAGACGTGTCAGGCAACTGAGTCTTGGGATTCAAGCGCGTGTGAAAGACCCGGGACTGCCTGAACGGGCGGCTGCAAACGTGGCACCTGAAATCAGTCCAAACCGGCCTCATTGATGGCACACCTTCTGGCGGGTTGCCAGATTTGACCGCGTTGGGTACCTTGGCTGATCTTTGACCAAAAGCACCCAATGTCGACTCCAGATAGTCAACCCCAGTTTATTCGCAGGGTGTCCCTGGGTGAAATACGAAGAAACATCACTTTTGGAGGATCTCCATCACTTCGTGGAGAATCACCATCCCCACTTTTAGCCAATTTTGCTGGAGAAACACCCCCCCATATCTATAAGCAGAACTGAAACCATGATCCTTTCGTGAGGCAAGGCACCCACAGCAGTGACGGGGCGATCGCCAGGAGGACGACGGCGGCGACAGCGATCGCACGGGCCATGTCGAAACGCTTCAAGAGTCGCAATGAGAGCTTGCATCCAAACATTTGGAAGGTGTCGCTTGTGTTTCTGTCTGGTCTTCAACTGTTCTGCTTTTCGGTCTGGTTTCATCTTTGCCATTGAAGCGTGTATTCAACTGCGAAAAGGCAAGCGCAGCCGCAGTTGAGATCCAATGCGGTGCAGCGTGTCACTGCCTCTGAAAGATAGAGCAAACTGCAAGACAAGACCCCGGGGAGTAATTTGCGGGTTCTAGCCAAGTTTCTCTTCGACCGAAGTATGGCTCCGCTGAGCAGCCCCATCCAATGCAATCCAGCCTTGCCAATGCTCCGACCCAGCTCGAAGTCTTCCAAAGAAATTCCCTGCGCCGCAACCCCCCTCCCATGCGAGTCTGCCGCGCAGGCTCGCTTGGCCAACGCGTGGAGCCCAACCGGCGACTGTTCCAAGTTCTGGTTGCAGATTGAAAGTTGCTTCTTTGCTGCTGGGCTGACTGTGAAAGAGCCCCCAGGCATGGTAGCAGTGAGAACTCGAGAAACAGCCGTGGCACTGGAAGTTGCAAAAGCAGCAAGCAGTGCTGGTAGCGTTGGCTTCAATCAAAGTAACCATGGACGTATAGCAGCCATGGACTTGGTGGGTGACGGCAGTAGCAAATGTGACGCCCGAACAATACAAGTGCAACAAAACTTGGGGCCATTAAAAAAAAAAACAAAAAAAAACATGATCTGACAGGTACTCCAAGTTGGCAGTATATGTTGCGCTTCTCATCGCAACCTTGGCAATGGGGGGAAGTTGGCGCAAGTCTGTTTCGGCGGGTGGCTGTGATAGCGGCTCCCAAGCAGGGCTAGCAGAAGCAACTCACCACCTACCCACCCTGCAAGTAACGAATAAACTTCTCATTAACCAATCAGCAAACCATCCACCAACCAACCAACCATCCGCCCACCAACCAACCAACCAACCAACCAACCAACCAACCAACCAATCAACCAACCATTGTTACCAAGAAACCAGCCACCCAGCAAAAGCAAACAAACAGCTCCTGCTTTTGCAAGACATGGCCACGCCTTCTGGTCGCGCTTCACCAGAAATTCGTCCCAGGCCTGGCTAAAACTCGGGCCGGACAAAAGCACGGATCCGGACGGCCACACCGACTGTCTCGTCGCCTTGTTGCAGGTGCCCAAAGAACCTTGGCTCAAAATCCGCGCGGATTTTACGGCAAAGGAACTCAGGCCAGAGCTTGCGTCTGCCTGCAAGAGAGTACGCTTTCGCACCACACCTCTACCCTTGCAACAAGCGACTTTCATTCATGAAACTTAAGGACTCGCTGGCCGAGAATCAACTAAAGACTTGGCCTTCCGCCCTGTGGACAGCACCGAGTTGACAGACCTGCGGATGACCTCGGTGCCACTTGCGGGCGCAGAGCAAAAGGCACAGCATGGCACAGAGGCGGCGGCGTCCATCTGCAGACCTACGCGACTCAATCTTCTCCGAGAAAGAAAAAAAGAAGAAAAAAAACGCCACAGAAAAATCAAAACTCGACACATGATTGGCCTCACCTTGGCTGGGAAGGCTGCGGCTGTGAGTTTGAGATAAGATGAAACTACGTGCCGAATCGCTTCAGGTAGCGCCCAATGTCCAAGCAGTGAGGGAACTGCGAAGCAAAACTAGATACCAAATGTCGCAGTTGCTAGTTCCCTTCACAACTCATGGACCACTTGCCTTGCCAGTTCTCCTTCTCTCAGAAGAAAGCAACAACAAATGACATTGAAATTCGTTGAGGAAACAAGTTGCAAGTCCGGACTCAGCAACTTCCGCAAAGCCATTTCCAACCCATGCCAAACCCCTGGCAACATCTCTGGTCAGGGTATGCTTCACGCTTTGAGTTGGTACCACTTTTTGCTGGGCTTTAACGGGAACTCAGAAAGGAAAGCTGCTTGCCATTTCGCGGGGACTGCAAAAACGGACACGCCCAGCCCTTCCGCGCTTTTCGGCGCGCTTTTCGCGCGTCTCGTTTCGTCGAAATTCGTCGCCTGAGGAGATGTCTTCGGGCGTCTGTTGTTTGATCCCCTGGTTTCGGCCGTTTGAGAAGAGATCTCGGGCTCATATCCAAGAGGAATACCGTGGGTTTCCAGTTGCCATTTTGTGTCGAGTAAGTGTTGATTCATGTTGGTAGTCAGGCGTTGTACCATGGTCGTTCGCGCACCGCTCGGTTTGGTCGCGAATCGCCGACTTGTTGGACTTTGGAGGTCAACGACATGTGGCTGGGTCAAAAAAATGTACCCCAAAATGGCTTGCCCTGGTAAATGGATTGCCATGGACCAAAAAAAATGCGGTCCATATCCTGGTTTAATTTTGACCCATGCCCATGTGGCTTTGAGTTCCAAGGCGCTTTGAGCTTGGACGGCAATGCCAAAACGCGGGTTCCATCGCCCGGCTAGGCGATCGATCGTCTCAATCGACTCCCATTCGCCAAAAGGTCCACCAAAGTTCTACTCATGGCGCAAAAACCGTTGAGCTCTCAGTCACTGAAAAGTCGTGGGTGGTTTGTTAGGAGTTGGACGCGTCAGAATGGCATGCAACGGTGTTCCTTAAGGTAGCAATTGTAAGACTTGCAGAAGTGACCTTGACTGAAAGCCCAACAATTGCAAGCAAGAAATGAGCCAGCGGTCTCGCCACACTGACCAAGCAAAAATGTTCAGGAAGAAAGCTTTGATATTAGGGCCAGCATCTCTTAGGATGGTGCCCACATGAGCCGGGGTGCAGAAAGCAGCCGACAAGACAACTGTCTCAATGCCTGTCAATGCCTTCATCTGAACAGCTCCCCACCCATTGATGCAGGCAAAAGATAAACTCCCTTCAAGGATTTATGAAGGCGGCCCATGCCAAAAGCTATGCGACATTACATACATTTCAAGAAAAGCAGCTGCGAACCGGCACATGCAAAGGGAAAGGTTGGCGGTGGGGCGGTTGCAGTATTTTGCAACTGCATGAGCCAAGGCCTCGTCAGCAGATCTTTGGGATGCACACTTCAGCTTCTTATTGCCTTTACGGGGCCTCTGGCTACACAAGGAGTTCTGGGAGCGGCATCATGTCATCACTCCCGCACGCTGGCAGATTCGCCGGCAAGACTGAGGTTCATGGATGTCTGGAAAGCTCAGGCTCGACAGCGAGTGTTTTCAACTTTGCGAAAGCAACGTTGCCTCGCCCAATACATTTGGCGGGTCAAAAATAGGCTAACCCCAAAATGGAACCCTGGGAAATGGAAACCCTGGGACTAAAATATGTCCATATCCTGGTGGTTTAATATTGACCCACACCCATGTCATGTGTGACTTTCGAGTGCTTGTCTGGCTGGCGCTTTCCAGTGGAGTCAACACCACATACCTTCCGTCTGCCCCTTAAACATGCTGCTATGCGAGCCGCGACCTGCCTTCTCACTTTCCCTTGAGCCCCTACATTGTGTGTGCTCCTCCTCAGGCTTAAACTCCGAAACTGCTGTGGGCTCTCCAAGATGGCAGGCAGGACCACGCAGTCTATCGCAACTAATCATGCGAAGTTAAACTTCATTCTCAAGCCACTGGCCGAAATTAAATCATCAAAACTCAGCCGCACTGACACACACCTGCTTCATCAACCATTTTCTTGCACTTGTTGATCATCGACTTCCCAAAGGCCGGGAACTTCAAGGAACACGGCTCCAGACATGCCGGCACTTCAAATTCACGGGATTGGCTTGAAAAACAGCTACGGGAGCCTCGCACACTCACTCGAAGGAAGCCGCCTCTCGTTTGCAAGCCGAGCGCTGTGGTCAAAACGTCGTTCAAACTTGCGATCGACTCCGAACAGCCATCCCCTTTGATTCCGTTAAGAGAATCCCCTCTTGCTCATTCCCGACCCCCGGAAGCTGATTCCCTGAGCTCCAGCAAGCAAAATGAAACCATACCTTTGACTAAATTTACAAGCGTTTGGTGACTGTCCCTACAAAATATTCCTACCCCAAGTAGGCGGTGTTTGACCATGGCAGACTGGGAGGCGAACACGATGAACATGGCAACGTGAATCAAAAGCAATGGCCCCTCTTGCTCCACATCATGGCACTCTTGGAAGTCGCAAATTGAGAAGCCAACTGATGCTTCGATGTTCGATGTTCCAACAATTCACACGCAAGTTTCTCCCTCTCGAAGATAATCCCACCTTCAAATGGACTTGGACCGTCGGTGGGAGTGCTGGCACACATTGAACTGGATGAAGGTTCGATGCACTGGCCTCAGACGCTGCCCACATGGGTGTCTCTAATTTTAGGGGACCCCCCTTAAAATGGTGGATCGGTTTCCCTTCGAATCCGAGCTGCAATGAAACAACCCAAATCTGCTGACAACCCCCGAGAAAAACACAAACAAACGCGAAATGAAATGGCGGCAAAGTCTACAAAAGTCCCTTAGATGCAAATCCTCATCTTAGGCCCGCGGCAAGGTCACTTGACGAACAAATGCCAAGTCGTCGCACGTACTTTCCTCGTCCGAGTCCTCGTCTTCTGAGTCCTCTCCGCCACATCTACACTGCGAATTGCGACTGGCTTGTCGAGCGGAAGTCAAACAACTCACTTCTGGAGCTTGAAGAGTTGACTATGTGCCTGCAAAGATTTCAAAAGCCCCAAAGTCCCGCGTCGTCACAGACTGCCCCCCCAACCATAAAACCAATGGCCAGACTCATATGTGTCCTTGCTGATTCTCTTCGCGGTTCAATCACAAGGGGTTCTTGTGCAGAGTTGTGCGGGGCCAACAACTTGCCATGACAAAGGGCTTCCCGCCACTTCAGGGCTTCAACAACCTGTGACAAAGCCAAAGTGGGCTCGGTCACCTGCCACACTCTGGTCACAGGGAAACATGAGTTTTTGGGGTCAAGATCAAAGCACCAGGATCTGGAGGTGTTAGTCCTTGCTTCCCAGGGCAACCCATTTTCCCTAAACCTATTCTTGACCCACATGACTCACTGACTGTGCCCAGACCTCAAATGAGCGGGCTAACGGAATGAAGCTCCGTGCATCACCGGAACACCGAGCTCAAGAAGAACAAACAAACAGCTAGACCACCCAAGATCTTTCTAAAACCAAAACACCTGCAGAGTAGACGACCCAAAACCATGGTTCAAGAAGAACGTGTAGACCACCCATTGCAACCACTGCGTCCGCTGAATTCATCTTCCAGCCTGCCCGCTTCTGCCTGTACAGTTGTACTGGCAGCGAGGAGTGTCCATGTCAACCTCCACAGAATGGCTTGTGAGGTTGTGCATGGGCCCTGCCTGGCTAGTACTGTATCACTCGCCTCACTATGTCCCATCGTTTATCAGCTTGCGCAGCAACTTTCGCTAGGATGTCGTATCAGCACAAACCGAGTCGCGTTGTGTGCAGGAACGCATGACTGCAAAAATGCACCATGAGTCAATCTTGAGCCTAACTATGAAACAGTGGGCGGAACACCCCTCATGTCCTTGCTGGTGCTTGCCTTGGCCAACGTCCGATGACTTTCTAAAATTAAAGGACCTAGTTCAAGAAAGAATAACCGCATAGACGCCCCAAGCCTGCTCGTAATTGCCTGTGAAGTTGTACTGGGAGCGAGGAGTGTCCATATCAACCTCCACAGAATGGCTTGTAAGGTTGTGCATAGGCCCTGCCTGGCTAGTACAGTATGACTTGCCTCATCATGTCCAATCGTTTATCAGCTTTCGCAGCAACTTTCGCTAGGATGTCGTATCAGCACAAACCGAGTCGCGTTGTGTGCAGGAACGCATGACTGCAAAAATGCACCATGAGTCAATCTTGAGCCTAACTATGAAACAGTGGGCGGAACACCCCTCATGTCCTTGCTGGTGCTTGCCTTGGCCAACGTCCGATGACTTTCTAAAATTAAAGGACCTAGTTCAAGAAAGAATAACCGCATAGACGCCCCAAGCCTGCTCGTAGTTGCCTGTGAAGTTGTACTGGGAGCGAGGAGTGTCCATATCAACCTCCACAGAATGGCTTGTAAGGTGGGGCCCTCACAATCGTTTGTCAGCTTGCGCAGCAACTTTTGCTAGCATGCGAAACGGCACCATGAGTCAATCGTGCACAAGTCCACCGCTGCAAATATGTGTTCTTGCAGGTGATTGTCCCAATATCTTTCTAAAACCAAAACACCTGGTTCAAGAAGAACGTGTAGACGACCCAAGATTGCAACCAATTCATCTTCCAGCCTGCTCGCTTCTTCCCGTGAAGTTGTACTGGCAGCGAGGAGTGTCCATGTCAACCTCCACAGAATGGCTTGTAAGGTTGTGCATAGGCCCTGCCTGGCTAGTACAGTATCACTTGCCTCATCATGTCCAATCGTTTATCAGCTTTCGCAGCAACTGATGTCATGTCGTCTCAGCACCGAGCGCATGCATTCAACAGCCGCGTTCGTTACACAAATCTTAGGCTTGCCTCGTAGCTCATATCCTTCTTCGGAGCTCGGACCTGGACAACTTTGAATGCACATCCAGCTGCAAATCGTCTCATCTGCTCCCGGCCTCACATCGCTGCAGGTTCCACATGGCCCTCGGAGTGTCTGGTGAGGCCTAGCATACGGGGCAAAACAATTCAAAGAACTGATTGCAGCTTCGACTCCAAACGGACGTTGAAGCTGAAGCAAAAGGGCCAACCAATGTTCGTAGACCCAACAAGACAAATGCACATGCGTACTCGGCTGCTTTCTGCTCCCCTGCTAAAAGTGACTAACCTTTAAACCCATTAAAGAAGGCAGAAAGTTAAAGTTCGAACATCCAAGCAAAATGCGCCACAGAGTAGTGAGAGGTCCCTTTAAAACCAACAGGGAGGGGAAAAAAACAACTGCTATTTTCCAGCTGCAACGCGCCCCAAGTTGTTTTCTCCTCCCGCCGCTTCGGCACGCGCCTTGTGCTCCTTTGCCTGGAACTCCGTTGGGATCCTCAGGCACGGCACCGGCACCGGGAGGTAGATCACGGGGACTCGCATACCTGAAGCGGCCAGTTGCTCACCGAAACTGCAAGTGAACCACAAAAAAGAAGCGGGTTCGGCAAACATCTTTATATATACATACATATATATATGTATATATATATACATATATATATATATATATGTGATGGCGAAAAAGCCAGCGCTGATACAACAAGGAGACAAAAGAAGCATGTAGCTAGGTTTGCATGGAAATTCCAGCTGTTTCGAAACAGGACAGGGAGGGAGGGAGAGAGAGAGAGAGAGAGAGAGAGCGAGAGAGAGCAAGAAAGCAAGAGAGCAAGAGAGAGAAAGAGAGAGACTGAAAGAGAGGACGAGGAGAACAAGGACGAGGACAAGGTTCCTGTTTTGCGCTTGGCCCAAAACAGCAACGGGAGGCCTCGAACGAGGCCGAAACACAGCGGGCTCCGTGCGTTTCGGGGCTCGTTGTGGGCCTCCCGTTGCCGTTTTGTGTTCCTGCTGTTGGCCGGCCATTGCAAGGAAGGAAAAGAGAAAGAGAAAGGGAAAGAGAAAGAGAAAGAAAAAGAAAAAGGGAACTAGAAACAGAAAGAGAGCGAGAGAAAGAGAGACAAACAGCCAGGAACTCTGCCACACGCACGCACATATTATTATACATATGCGCACGTGCAGAATGGGCCAAGAACGCTCATTGCAACGCAGTCAAGCGGCACACTGGCTGGGTGAAGGCTGGTTGTGCTGGTGCTTGTGCCAACGGGGCCTCTGGCATCTCCGTAGCCGTCACCGTGGGTGTCCGCTCGAGTTCAGGCCCCTGGCGGAGATGGACGGGCACTCCGGGATGCTCCATGTCTCCACTTCGGCTGAATCAACCCATGGGTCCACCCCAAATTCAAGAACTCGGGGGTCGGCTTGGCGCCACACACAGTGCACATAAACTCTTCCCGGCCTCCTTCAAAAGAACCTCAGGAGGCAATCCACCGGTGCCATCTGCGAATTGATGAAAGCGATGTTTGCCAAGTTGCCACAGCCTTCTCAAACTCCTCCTGCGTCAGCCAGTGTGCCAGCTTCTTCCTCGCCCTTTGGCACACACGCCTTGGTGGAAAGCAAATTTTAACTTTACTGTAGTACTAGAATCTGAATTAAGAAATGGCCAAGTAAAGAGCCTTTATCATGGCTGTCGCTCGTACCCCCGAATCGGTGAGCTCGCCCAAAAAAACATACAGGAAAGGATGCACTGCAGGTGCCACGCGCCTCTTCAAAGCCTTGCAAGGAGCTGTGGCTTTCGCCTCCAGCGTGGCCGTCACTAGCTCCTGATCGCTCCGGCAGGAGCCGTGGCTCAGAAATAAATGGCAGTGAGTCAAGAATGGGTACCCAAAATGGGTTGCCCTGGTACATGGAACCAACGACTGAAACCTGCGGTCCCTTGGTGGTATAGTTTTGACCCATACCCAAACCGCTGGAGGAGGTCGTGAGTCATGCGTCGCAGACAACAAGTGCGAAGCCCTCAGGTCACTGTCCCTCCTCCACCTTCCGCTGCACTCGAGTCTTGCTGCCTGTGAACGTTGACATTGGCCTTGGTACCAAGCATGTCCCCGAAATCGAAGCATCAGCCATGCAGAGACGAATCCTGCGCACAAGGCACTCACAAGCCACTCCTGTTCGTTCAAGTGCTAATGTGGCCATGAGTCAAAATCCCGTACCCCCAGTGAACATCCCAATCCCCACTAAAATAGACTGTTGGTTTTGACCCACAGCCATGTGTCACCGCACTGCGTCTTTGGTTTCAGCAAAGGCACGCGCGGTCGGCGGGCAGTCTTAAATCAGCGTGCGACAGGCGCGGTGAATCAAAGACCCGAGCAACCCTCTTGAATTCCACAAGCTGCGGCAGGAACACCAAAAGGAAAAGCCGCACGACTCACGCTGCACGACTCACGGGCCAAATGAAATGTGAGTCACAGCTATGGAATTGATTCATTGGAAACAGCATCCTGTTTCGGTCTGAGAGGGAGAAGGAAGCCCAGTTGATAGGGTTTGTTCAAACAGGGGCAACAATACGAGACATGCGGCCCCCTGCTCACAATTGAAGGGAAAACGGCGGTGAACCTTTGTGCTGTCCGTGTGACATGATTGAATGAACAAGCCGACCATCTGGGCACTGTGCAGGCAAGTGAATTACCACGTCGCATGAGTCGTACTCAAAACCGATTGGTACTTAACATGGTCTACCCAGAACCATTTTGCAGAATGAAACAGGCGGCGCATCCGTTTATGGCTGGGACTATCCCTTACCAACCTGCATCTACCTTGGGGCTCACATGTTTGTTTCGATCCACTAAAGCCCTCAATTTATCCACCGTAAGCAGCCTTAAAGCAACAGCGTTGATGAGTCCCGGTCAGAAAGTTGCACAAAAGCCGGGGTATGTCCTGAGCTGCCCTCCCTAAACCTCTGTGTGGGGACATTCTGGGGCAGTCAGCGAGATGTGTGTGTGTGTGTGTGGGTGTTGCTTTTGGGGCTGCAATGCAACGCTTCCTCGCAAAGTCAAATGAACGACGCTCACTCACGGGGGTCCAGCTCACAGAGAAGAAAAGGGTGATCGCTTAGCTGGTCGTGGTACCAGGTGCCCAGATTCTCCACAATTGTAAGTATAAGCTTGGCACACATGCAAATCTGCCACGCCTGCAAAGTTCTGCCAAACACTTCTCAGCCCAGTTTGCCCAAGCAGCGAGGCATCGACCCTTGCTTCAGGCAACCCGAGTTTGAAACAAATGTGGGTGTCTTACAATAGGAAACCCCTAAAAATGGTCTGTGTTCCTTTTGTTTCCCTGTGAAAACCAACCAAAAGGGCTTCCCCAAAAAAAGACACGCCCATGCAATGATACGGGAAGTGGAATGACCGTTCCACTCTCTTCTACAAATCATGGCTATAAAACATGGATTCAACTCTGGCGTCTGCCGGACGCACTTGGAACACGATCTCTCCCTGTCTGAGTGGCAGATCCTTGGGGGATCGGAGAATACTGGGGTGACCCGCTGAATGAGTTCTAACAAAATGGTTTTAACCTCCAACACAAATGGCTGTGGGTCAAAAATAGGTACCCAAAATGGGTTGCCCTGGCAAATAGAAACATGGACTAAAAGCTGCGGTCCAATTCCTGGTGATTTAATATTGACCCACACCCAAATGCCTTCAATTTGGACTCCGTCGGGCGAATCGCTCCCTCGATCCTCGCCTAGGCTGCGTCCCACTCGTCCACCCTCGGAACGCTCGGGATCGCACTCTTAAGCGCTATCGCGAAGCATGACATGGACTTGTCTCAAAAATAAGGAAAAGACCCCAAAATTGGTTCTGTCCCTCTCCTGGTCCTTTAAAAACCACCCCATTTTGCGGGGATTCCTGGTACCCCCCCCACCCATTGCTCCGGGCCGGACCCCCCGCCCTTTCTCTGCCCCCAGCCGGCCTCAAGCCTCGCACTCCCTCGCACCCCGGACCTGGGCACCGCGGCATCTCCAGCATGCCCGTGGCCACGTCAAAGCGCTGCGCCTCACGGGGCCGGGGGCCGGGGGCCGGGGGGGGGGGGGGAATAAAAAAACGGACATGGGATAGGCCAAGGCCATGAGGTCGCTGGAATGCTGTTTTGCTAATGTTGAGCCAGGAAAGGAATAACCCGTCCCAACTTTTAGGGGGGAACTGTTCCCTCCAAAAGTGGTCTGACTCCCCACTAAAAGGGGACACCCCCCCTATTAATCAACCTGAGGTTTATTCTTCAGGTGTTAACAGTACTGAGGGACGGCAAAAACATTGCTCCTTGACCAGCATTGTCATCGGGCAAGATTTGAGGCAACGTTGGCCTTGACAATGTGTCTGGGCCAACGTTGCATCACTTTGCCTGATGACAATGCTGGTCAAGGAGCAATGTTTGCCTTCCCTCAGCAACTTCAAGTGACAAGCGACTTGGCCCATCCGGTCAGCAGCTTGACTTCGGTAAATGGTTGCGACTCGGCCCATTCGCCGAGCTCTGGAAGCTCCCTCTCGCTTAACCACGCGACCTTCTCGCAGGCGGCCACCGCGAAGGAGTAGCTGACGATGGTCGGCAACAGCAACTCCTGGCTCATCTCCCTGAGCAGAAAAGCCGCGGATTCCCCGAGAGACAAGATCCAGGTGCGAAGCAAGCTCCAAAAACCGGTGGACCGGTCATTCAAACACATAGGTTACCTATATTTAATTTAAAAAAATGGCTTGGTAAATGCAAAACACTCAAACCACCAAAAAACACAAACAACAACAACAACAACAACAACAACAACAACAACAACAACAACAACAACAAAAAACGGTTGGCTTGGTAAACACTCAAACCTGCGGTTATCCTGAACTGTAAGTCCCATAGCCCTTCCGCCCGGCCGAGGAAGCGCTCAGCCCTCGCCTGAGCAGGGACTGAGCCAGCTCCCACCGCTTGCCTCTTCCTGCACGTGTCGAAAGTGGCGGACTTGAGAAAATCCTGCGAAATGCCAAGCTGCTGCCAAGACGCTTGCCGCATTTAGGGCGGCGTTGAACATCGTGACCTTGGGATGTCGATGTCTGCTGTCTGGCAGCTACGAAGTTTTGATCCGAAGTCTGTGGATGGGCAAGGTCAAAGCCTTGTACGACAAAACACATACAACGAGCGAATGTTAAGGTTAAGCATGGATGTCTTAAGCCCCTCGTAGACATCTTTTTGCCAGCGTTTAAACAAATCCCCTCAGCAGCCAGAATTGAGAATGGGCTACACGAAGCCAACGATAGATAGCCTTAGCGTTGAAGGCACCAAGAGGACATCCCAAAACCTGTTCACAGATATCCAGACATGCGGCAAATCGACCATGAGCAACAAGACGAATTGCCGCAACGGGACGTCTGCAAGCCAAAATAGCAGTGACTCCAAGGTGGAGTGCTTAGATTCTAGGTAAGAGATCCCTAGGTCCAAGTTGTTATCCTCTGCTCTAGCTTAGAAGTTTTTGGGAAGGTTCTGGGCTGGAGCCGGAAAAACTGCGATGTTGTGAGCTCAGGTCATCGATGAAACACAAAATCACACACAACAAGCTCATGCCAGCATGGTTCTCCAAGACCAGAGGGCCAACACTATGCTTGCCAGGCTGCCACAATTACAATAGCTGTGATCGGACGCGGGCTCATGCTTTGAGGGAATCGGAAGCTGGGCGATTCATGTGCTCCGTGGTTGATGATTGTTTTGTTTTGTAGTTCCCGGTGATTCCTGGAGGTTAGTTGGAGAGCCCGGCGCATGTCCCTCTTTGAAATACAGAACATGCAGTGGCCGTCGACCCAGAAGAACAAGCTGTATGGCAGTTTTTGCTGCATGCTCCAGCTGGATGCAAGGGATGCCCCAGCAATGCAGACTTGCTGAGCTGGCAATACGAAATCTGCGACCACGGCCGTGCGAGGCGCATCCAGCTTGAAGAGAGTGTCCTGTCAGCTCACCAACGAAACTGGATACCCTGCACAACTCTTTTGCAAGAAAAAACAGCTCAAACCAGAAAAATGAAAGGGAGCTCGTCATGTGCATGTCGTGCACTCGGCTCCAGCAATTGCCGCGACCAGTCCCATCGCTCGCTGCGCTCTGCCACCTCGTCGTAGTGAACCCGAAACATTCAAGACTGCATATCTACCCAGGCATCCAGACTAGAAGCAGCATGTCGTAGGCATCAAAGCCAGGAGTGAGCTTTGCCTGGCTACGACCCACGCCTTTCTCGTAATCACCGCAATCTCGCCAACGGACTCTTGCACATGGCCCCCTCCTTGCGCATATCCGTCCAGTAGGCCAAAGCCTTCGACCAATTGTCGGCCTCGGCAGAACAGAGGTAAGGCCAACTTCACGACATCTCCTCGACGCGTGCTCCATGCTTGCCAAATGGCCATGGGTCACAATCCAAATCGTACCCCAAGTGAACATCCCAATCCCCACCAAAACAAGTTCTAAAATGTGTGGTGAATTCAGCTACCCCAAAATGGTACCATTGGTTTTGACCCACAGCCACATCTCCTGGACCTGTGCCCAATGCTTCCCAAATGCCATGCTCAATGCCCTTCCCCAATAATCCGGCCCAATTCGCGCCTCCTCGGAATCCTGGCCGAGAGCAAGGCGCACAGTCGCATTCTTTTGCAGGCCCCTACTAACAATGAAAAGAACCGTAAAAACATGCCAACTGTGAAAATGATATTCTTGTTGCAAAAAAAAGAAAAGTAGAAATGCAGGGGAGCCGGCTGAAAGAATCTCGCAGGTCACTGGGTCGAGGCACCGCGCAGGCGTAGAGCACCAAGCAGTAGCTCTGCATGTTGGGGCTTGGTTCGCCCTCAACGAGACACGACAAAGCGGAGATACAGGGTTGTGGGATGAAGGGGTTTATCCTCACCTCTGTGATGCAAGGGAATCCCCTTTACATGGGGGGGTTAGTCTTTGAGAGGCACTTTTTGTTGTATAACGGAAGTGGATTCCATTTTCACGGATCTGGGCCGGTGTCTTTTTTTGCGGAACCCCGTTTTGGTTGGTGTGAAAGGGAAAACCACAGGGAAACCCGCTCACCATGTTGGGGGTCCACCAGAAAACCGCAAGGACGCCGTTGCCCTTTCGGGGAGTCCACAAGACAAACGTGGCGCAACGAAGCTCACCCCGAGGTCCTGGCCCTTCGCATCTCCGCGAAGGTGTTGAATGCCTGACTCAGCGACCAAACGCTCGCGACTCATGCGAGCGAGCCACTCGCGGGTCGCATGCGAACTCGCGAGCGCACCTCCAGCCAGCGGTTGCCGGTGATCAGGGCGAGAATCAACTCATTGTACTCCTCTCACGCTTTCCAAGTCTCAGATCCAACTCCACAAGGCCACAGCCGTGCGTGCACACAAACAAACAAAAGAAAAAAATTCGCCGCGAGCATCGAAAAAAGGTGTTGTCCTCCACGCCTGGATCCAAGTTCTTGGCCTAAGCTCAGCTGGTCGCCGCGGAACGTCTCTGCGACCGGGGCGCCCGGCGCCCAAATCTCGGAAGAGGCGGATGGCCGCCTCGTAGCTGTACCTGTCGCTTCGAAGCGCGAGCAAGGGCTCCGGAGGCTCCGGAGGCTCCGGAGGCTCCGGTGCTTTTGCTTGGGGCACAAGCCGCGGTTGCAGGTGCGCATGGCTTCGCGGTAGCTCAAACGATCTGAGCGCGATGATGAGGGAGGGCTGGCTTGGAACTGAAGTCGCGAAGGCCTGGTCCCAAGGACCGCTCCTCCATCTGCTGCAGCATATGCAAGGCCAAGGTCCAGTAGAACCGCCTGCCCGGAAGAGTCCGGGGGTGTCTCATTTTTTCGGGGGGAGCCCAGAAAATATATGTTTGTGTCAGTAGTGTCCCTTGGATCCCCCACCAAAAACGAGCTCCAGTCCCATTGTTTCAGGCCCGAGCTCCAGGTTGCCCTTCGGTGCCAGATGTCAAGTCACACCGGGGCCCCGCGCGGGCATGCCTTGATGGCGGCTCGATAGTCATCCAGCGTGCCAGGCGTCTGCCATGCGAATCGTGCGAATCGTGCGAATTGGGTCCATAGACTTAAACCCAGGGGTTCTCCTTTTGGGGCGAATGAACCACCGCCGCCCCTGGAGTCAAAAAGTGGCAGCAACGTGACAGATCGAAGGCCTCCTGGATCTGCTGAAAGAAGAGATCCAACGCATGGCTCCAGCGTGCCAGCAAGCCCCTGGCCGCTCTCTCCACTGGCCGTGTCTTTTTGCAGTATCCCCTTTCTTGGCTCTTCGGTTTAGGGAAACCCACAAGTATGACATCCACTTCTCTCACCTTTCCCTTTTTGGCTTCTCGGCTTCAGGGAAAACAACTGGAAAACCCTGGCTCGCCATGGCCAACACAAGACGAGCGCCCGCTTCCCCCGCCTCCGGCTGGGTGCCACGTCCCAGAAGGGCCGCAGCGCCTCTGCTCCTCGCCGCGCCTGATCCCGAGGCCCCAAGGGGCCCTTGGGGCCCCAAGGTGAACCGTGTGAAACGTGGCCGGTCGACTCGGAGAACCACATGGCTGGTGTGGCCAAAGCAACTGTGCCATGTCAACATATGAGTCACTTGCTCAAAACCCGGTACACAAATGGTAAGCCCAGAGCCATGCTTCAAGCAGGATGGGATGGGATGGGATGGGATGGGATGGGATGGGATGGGATGGGATGGGATGGGATGGGATGGGATGGGATGGGATGGGATGGGATGGGATGGGATGGATTGCTTGAGGAAGTCATGTTCCAAGCACTGCGTACTTCAACATTGACAAAGATGACTCATGGAAACAGCTGTAGGTGCGACAAGCACGACCAGCATGCTATGAACAGCTTCAAGCCAACTGAGCAACTTACTGAACCCATCAGCCAAACGAGCCAGAACCAAGTACCACACGTCAACTTGGCGAGCCAACAATCCACCAGCCATTTGGGTGTTCATCCAAGCTGGTAAGTTGTTTAGATGATAACCCACTTCTTAAGTGGAGCTACCCCTGTCATTGGTGGGTTCTTTTCCCAGGTGGGTAACCACTTCTTCACTTGATCCAAGTGGCCAGTCCCGTCCCCGCCTCCTCCGCCAAATTGCCCACAGTCTGGTGCACAGCGCAGCGCACCGAGCGGTGCCGCCTCCGGTTCACAGGCTGCAGCTCCAGCTGGTCATTCCAAGTGGACCGCACCAAAACCGTGTAAGCCATGGTCGAAACTCCTGTGGCCTATGGTCGTGGCTCCCATGGGAATCCTGGTGCTGGTAAGGATCCCTACCAGGCGGATGCCTATCCCTCTTAAGCCCAAGTAAAGGGGGTCTTTTGACCATGGCACATGTGGGTCAACATGAAGCCAGGGACCGCAGGTGTTAGGCTTTGGTTCCACCCACCAGGGCAACCCATTTTTGGGTTATCACTTTTTTTCGACCCACAGCCATGAGATGAACCAAGAGGCCCGCCCCAAACCAATTTCTGGCGACTCTCGCGGCTGGGCCACCGGCGCGTCGAGCAGCAGATCCAAGGCACTCTGCCAGCCTTGGCGGCTCGCCGGTTTTTTGGGGAGTTGGCACCCACTCTTCGGCTGTCTTAAAGGGAACCAAAAGGGAAAACCGTTGCGCCACTGTTGGGGGGCCCAAGCTTACGAAACACATCCCCAAGTCTGCGTTCCTCGCCGGCATCTGCCACCCTCCAAGCTCCCCTTCCCGTGCCGCTTTTGCAACTCGCGTGCTCATCTGGCAGTGGGTCAACACCGATGGTACCATTTTGGGGTAGGTGAATTCACCACCAACTTCACGCTATTTTAGAACCTGTTTTAGTGGGGAATGGGATGTTCACTGGGGGCTAACCGATTTGGATTTGGAAAAGCCCATGGCCATCTGGGAATCTACGCTTCGGCACCACAAGACCTTCAAGTCGGCCATCGATTTGGATCTCAGCGCCCGCAGGCTGAGTTGCTCTACAGGTCCTCTCGGAAATGGATCTCGTTCCAGTCGCTGACTCCTAGAGGGAGAGGAGCCGCGTAGCTTGCGGGCACGTTCCTCTGAGGCACAGCGGGGTCAACATAGAGATATGGGATGTCCTGAGCTGGCAGAAATCTAGCTTCAATATTCCGAGTTGAGCAAAGAAGCGGGGACTAGCAGATAGCAAATTCCATTTCTGGTAAGTCATGAAGTCTTCCGAAAAGCTTCTCCCAAAAAGCATCCCCCATCCAAGCCTTCCCAGTCTTCCCCAGCCTTCCCCGGCCCCAATGCAGCTGTGGATCCTTCCATCGAGTGGCTGGAAACATCCAAAGGAACTCGCAGCCTTCACTGCCAGACTCAATGCCATGCAGCATGCGGGCAGGAATATTGACATGAAGCCCCGGCGAGATGGCATGCCTCACCTGGCCATGGGTCAAAATCCAAATCGTACCCCCAGTGAACATCCCAACCCCCACCAAAACAGGTTCTAAAATGGATGGTGAATTCACCTACCCCAAAATGGGATCCCACAACCACAGCCACCTCGTGGCGAGTGTACTCACCAAGCTTCACGTGCCCATTGCCTCTGGTGAAGTAGTAGGTCTCTCCAAAAGACTCGGGATGGTAGTGCGTGGGCAGCTCCTTGTTGGGCCCCAGTCGCAGTAAACCCCCTGTCAGCCCAGTGACGCTGCCGTCGTCTCCGGGCGGCAGCGTGAGCTCCTGCCACTCCAGCTGCTGCCTCTCGCGGCCCGAGGTCCACAAGTTCCAGCTCCGGTTCACCGGAGGGCTGAAATGAGCGCTCAGCTCGGCACCGGAACTCCCCGCCAGCAGAGCGAGCCAGAGAGACATGGACAAAAACATAGAGCTGAGACACCGCACGCGGCCTGAAAATCGCTCCCTCAACCGCGGCTCATCGCTCTAGATCCTTCCTTCCGACTCTTTGGCCGCCCCAATATGCCAGCGGCTGGGCCCAAAAGCTGCGTATTGCAACAGAAATATCCCCCGGACGTCCGGTCTCAAAGGAAAAGCTGGCCATGAACTTCTCATGTGGCTGCTCAAAAAACCGGAAATCCAAAATGGATCCCTGGCAAGTGGAAACAAAGGCCAAAACCTGCGGTTTGCCCCTCGTGTTTCATTTTGAGGCAGCCATGTTCTCAGCCTCAACCCCCTGAAGCAACGCTGCGTCGCCTTTTGATCCATCCAGCAACCCCGCACCGACGCACCGGCTCGCTCACAAGCGCTGATGACGGTCGCGCGGGTGGCCGTGCTCCTCAACATCCATTTCCGAGCTGAGCAAAGTTGGGCTTCGGGGTATGGCGCAGGGTATGAATCAAGGACATCTGACCTTTTGGCCAAAAGCAGGACTGGGTTTCACTTCTTCTGGGTTTCACTTCTTCTGAGATGCAAATGAACACTGGAGAAGGACATCTGACGAATTTCATTCAAGGTTCCTGGGCAACTGGCGGTGCTGCATCTCCACCAATAACATCACAGACGCTTGCCACCGGTCGCTCTTGGCGCAAGCGCAGATGGCAGCAGCGTAAATGACAGCATCCGCCAATCGCCGCAGCTGGAACTGCATGAGCAGGCAGAGGGCATACTGCCATGCAGCGCCTGGCGCAAAAAAGAAACTCATGGAGGGAATCAGGGAAGCGGGCTCAAACAAACTGAATCGGGCGGGAAAACACACACGCACACTCCCTTCACAGTTTCTGTTTGCAGATGGCCTTTCTCACAGGCTCCGATGGCCGAAGTACAGATCATCTCATCTCCTGCTATGCGAGCAATCTCGAGGCGATCAAGCAATGGAAATACTTGCTGCCACTGACTGCCCTGCTCACAAGCACGAATCGCAGCACCGTGGGTGACGACATTCCGCTGGAGCGGAATTGATTGCAGCTCCTCCATCAAGGAAAAGGCATGTTGCCACTCTGCGCACGCAATGGAGGCATTGTAGGCGCAGGCAGTTCTCTCCAGGCATTGGTCTTGTAAGTCTGCGAGGAGCTCAAGCGCAAGTTGCCATTGGTCCCCCTTCTCACAGGAGCTGATGGCTGCATCGTAGGTGATGACGTTGAGCTCGATGTTCACCTCTTGGACTTCTGCAAAGAGACGCAAGGCTTGCTGCCACTGCCGTGCTCGGCCACATGCACTGATCGCGGCACTGTAGACAATCACATTGCCACGCAAGGCTTTGCTGCGCGCTCCTTGCAACAAAGCGAGGGCTTGTTGCCACTGGCTGCCCTTCTCGCACGCGCTGATGGCAGCACCGAAAGTCACAATGCTTCTTGGCAAGCGCCGCATCGCCAAATCTTCCAACAGTTGCATGGCGCACTGCCACTGCTGACCTTTCTCGCAGGCACTGATGGCAGCATTATACGTGATGGAATCCGAAAGACGTGCTGAATGTGACTCTTGCAGCAATCGCAGCGCCCACTCCCACTGTTCTCCGCGCTCACAAGCACTGATGGCAGCGTTAAAGGAAATCTGGCTGCGCTGCAAAGACCTGCTCTGAATCTCTGCCAGCAGCTCCAATGCCAGTTGCCATTGATCTCCACGTTCGCAGCCGCTGATGGCGGCGTTGAAAGTAACCACCGTAGCTTGCAAACCTGACCAAAAATCATGCAAAGGATCCCGGGGTCAGAACATGTTGGTTCTTTCGAGAAAATTACATTCTCCAAAAAAGTGACGGCAGGAAGGAAGAAGGAGGGACTTGTCTGATGCCCAAAGCGGTTGCGGCTTCTCCCGCCTTGTTCCAACAGGCTCCGCAACAAGTGCACGGCCCATTGCCACCGCCCACCGCAGGCGCTGATGGCGGCGTTGTAGCTCACAACACTGCTGCGCAAACGTCGCTCCTCAAACCCACGACGTGGCAACTTGGTCTGTGTATGTGACTCGACTTGCAAGGTTGCAGTCATCTCAAAGTCTGGACAGCCACGCATTCATGCGGCATGTCGCAAAATTGGTGGTGGTTACATAAGGAAACCCATGGAAAATCAGCGCATTTGGGGGATCAGGAGTTTTGGGCGGGCATCCCGTCTTGGTTTCTCCTCTATACTCTTTATTTGCCCTGGCCTATGTTTCGAGATGCCCGAACCATGCCAGTGATCAAACTAGATCAGCCACGGTCAAAACCACTTGCTTCCCCAAGACCACATGGGGAAAATGGGTGGGCCCCCGCATGCCCCTCAAATAGGGGGGCTTTTGGAAAAAAAATAAGGTTGGCTGGACACTTCCCTTCGCCTCTTGCCGCCTTTTTGCGGCCCTCAGTGTTCGTTTCGCAGGGCCAAATCCATCTTGAAAAGCTCGCTTTCGAGCAACGGTTTTCTATTTCGTTTTTTGAGAAGCAGTTGAGCCGCACGGTGAACTGCTGGCCCCACTTTGGGAGAGCGCCCTTTCGCGTTCCTGTCGCAGTTGCGCGGAGTCCGCCGGCGGAATCCGCGAAGTTCGTGGGCGCGAAAGCCACCAACAGTATGTTCCTTTCGCGTTCCCTTCGCCAGGGAAGCCTTTCGCAGTAGAACTTCAGGACTACCCTTTACACAATTGAGACTTGCAAGCCAGAACTGCCCCAATTGGGCTTTTTGGGTTCCGCCTTTACTTCATGCGTTGCACTGCCGCCAAAGTCGGGGGCCATACGCACATGGAGCGACCAACAACGAGAGCGCATCACTCGGCTCGTCTGTGCAATCTGCACCCGCGAGCCTCACCCGCCATAATGAGCTTCACTCACTTCGTGACACCACCGGAGTCTGCTGACAGACCCCGTCGCATACAGCTGGTTGCCAGCTAGTCCACATCCTGATCACCTTGCGCCCAACACAACATCTTTCGATGCTCCCCTCTTCAGAAACCTCCACCCTGGTTTGCTTCTGGGAGGAAAGAACTGCATCCATGCCGATGTGGAGCGCCAACTCTCTCTTTTCCACTTTTCAGCTGATTTGCTGTCAGCACAGGAAAGCGCTGCGCTGCTCATCAAGATTGCGAACCACGTTAGTGAGCTCCACATGGCAAGCCAGCTGCCAGAGCCTTTGCGCGCACTTGCTGAGCATATTCCAGCCACCTGTAACACTGCAGAAGCAGCTGGACCGACTGAACTACACGCTGGGCGACTGTAGCCACCTCAAAGCAAGTATCAGCACCATCCACCGTAAGACGCATTTCTCTAGCAGTCCCTGAGTGGCATCCGATGTCCGTTGCAGACATTTGCTGCAACCCCCTGCCCTGTGGATCCAGGCAAACTCAGGCAATAGCAAACTTGCCCACCAAATGGGTCGAAACGGCACTACCGCTAGGCTCGGCCCAGTGCTACTCACAGACTGCCACCCAAATTTTGACCGAACCTCATACTATTGCGGTATCGCTTCTTCTGCAAGGAAAGCAATTCCGCCCAGCCCCGTCGCCCCGTCCTGCAATTCCGCCAACAGGCAAAGGGACCGCTGCCACTGTCGAGCTTTTTCGCAGGAGCTCATGGCAGCCTCAAGCGAATCCCGCGGGCTCGTCTTGGGCCCGCAAGTGATCATTGGATGTGGGGGTGCGTGTACACAAGGACTTCCTGTGGTCTCAATGAAGAGGTGCATGTACACAACTACCTGTGTTCTCAGTGAAGAAGCATCCCCCAGAAGAATGCGGAAAGATCCAGTGCGCGCGGGTATGACTCTTTGTGTGTGTGTGAACTACTTTGCTTCTTCGGGCAGAGATTATTCGATGGCAACAATGGTTCAGTGCTACCGCGCAGCAAAGGTCTGCACATGTCAAACCAGCCACGAGGCGTTGCAAGTGATCACGTCCACTTGCAGCTGGCAGTCATCAAGGTGTCTCAATAACCCAAGAGCCGGCTGCCACTCCTCGTTCCAAGTGCATCAGTCTGCTGTGGCTCAAACCCATGGTACCATTTTGGTTGGTAGGTGAATTCACCCATTTCAGAACCCAAATATTTTAGTGTTGTTGGGATGTGCACTGGGGGCTAACCGGGCTTTGGTTTTTTTTCTTCCCCCACCAGTTGCGACGGCCCAAGACGCGTTGCCCCGCTCGCAGGCGCTGATGGCCGCGTTGAAGACCACGAGGTTCGCCTGGCCCGGCTCTCGCTGGGCTTCGTGGAGGGTCTGCAAGGAAGCTGGCCAATGCTGGTGGCTGCAAGCACTGATCACGGAGCTGTAGGCGATCCTTAGACTCCAAATTTCCAGACGACAATCACATGGTTGCGACATCCTCAAGACGACATCCTCAAGACATAAGACATGTGTCAAGCAACTTCAAGCAACTTCTGCATCCAAGAGTCGCGTTGTTCTGCAGTCGCCGCTCTTCAGAGGCTGGCAGAAAGGAGAGCGCGCATCTCCACTCCTTCCCCCTCTCACAGGCGCCGATCGCCGCACCACACGCCACGATGTTGCCTGCACGAAGCTACGCAAGCGGCACGGACCAGCGGGTCTGGATCGCATGCGTTGACTTGCTGCTCAGCAGGGAACGACCCCCTATAAATAGCCTATAAAAAAAATCCCCTGTGGTTTCCCTTGAGGAAGAAACCCTAGGTTCATTCCCAAAAGCCCGGAAAATCTCGGTTTCATTCCCTTCCCATCGCAGCAACTTGGTCTCGTTGGCCTCGCCTTCGACTTGCCGCGCATCGAACACGGACAAGAGAGCCAGAGCCCGTGGCCACTGGCCCTCGAAGCTGCAGCTGCTGATGCCCGCGCCTCAGCTCCACGACTCCACGACGCCCAAAATCCCAAACGGCCTGCGGCGAGGCGAGGCAACGGCTCGCTCCCCGTGGAAACGTCGGGAAACTCTTGGCCCGGCGGCTGGAAGTGAAGGCGGTATCTTGAAGTCCTCTGAGGTGAAACTGCAGCAGCACGTCAAGGGCCAGCCTGGATCCATATCACGTTACGACCCGCAAGATTGAACAGGGATCCGGATGCATTATACACCTGAACATAGCAACTTGGAAATGGTGGTTCCCTTTATTTTGGTGTCGAAAAAGCAACATGTTTCAAATGGGCAAAATGTATCTTTTAAGGAGCCCTGTTCTCCTTTGACCAAGAAACTGCCATTGCGTCTGCCGGCCGTGGCTGCTGATTGCGGAGACATAGCTGGCATCTGCCCGCAGCCCAGACTTCATTGGCTGCAGCATTCATCAAGGCATCCAATGGAAACCGCAACAGCAAGCACAATGTGAAACACACAAAACAAAAAGTGGAAGCTGACAACTGTCATGTTGACCCCATATTAATCAAACCCAGTTTATTATTAGGGTGTGTTCCCCTCCAAAAGTGGTGATTCCCCACTAAACCCAGGGACACCCCCCTACTTGTAAACTCAGAAAGCAAGAGTCCTCCAGAGGGTGACGTGCTTTGGCCTCGACGGCTTTTAGCCGAGACACGGCCAGACCATGCGTAGGCCTTGCAGCCAGAAGCGCCACAAATCACAAGCAGATCCAGCAAAGGCGGGTGACAGTCATCCGAGCAGCTGGCAGCTCCATCAAAGGTCTGCGCAGTGTACTGCAGGCCCAGCCTGTCCAAATACTGGATGGACGAAATCCATTTCGCACCACCTAAGAATGGAATTGTGGCTCCCCTGTAAATACCAACAAACAATGGTTTCCCATGGCTTCAAAGTGGTACAGGATTTCGTCCATCCACGGTAGGAACGGCGCCTGTTGTGGGGTTTCGGTTGATCAAAAGCTGGCCATCGAAAAAAAACAAAAAAAACCAGGCAGCCCTGCAGCTTCATTTCCTCCAGTAGCTCAGTGGCAACGCGCCAAGCCGCCTGTCGAAAACTGGGAACACGTCTACTAGCTCACGACACGCAGTCACCAGCGGCTTCACCCATGCGCCGAACAGCCAAAAGAGAGAGAGCACCCTGCATGCCCGAAATGAAAGCATCGTGGCTCCCACCTCCCCCCGGAGGCTTCGCATCACCAGGCCGAAGTGCTCGCTGCTCGGCACCAGGCCCCAGCTCCTCGGGGCGAGAAAAACCGAACCGAACCGCCGCCGGCCTCCGACGGCGTTTGCCGAGCGAGCGCCAGGCGGACAGGAGGCCACCAGCAAGCACAGAGCCTGGCCAGTCACCAGAGCGCGCATGCTTTTTTCTTTTTTCGGCGAGGGGCGCGGGCCTCGTTTTAAAACCAAAGAAGTTGGATGGCCCATTTGTCACGCTGAAACCAGGAATCGGCCAAAAAAGGACACCTATTCTCTCAATCTATGAATCTATATATGGCCGTGGGTCAAAAATGCGTACCCAAAATGGGTTGCCCTGATAAATGGAACCAAAGACTACAACCTGCGGTCCATATCCTGGTGGGTGTCTTTTGACCCATACCCATATTTTCTACCAAAAAAAGCCACCTGACCTCCTGAGACCTCCTGCGCCGCACCTGCTGCCAGGCCAGCTCCCAGTCCTCCGCGCCGACGCAGGCGCCAAAGAAGCCTTCGTTCGCGGGGTTCGTCGCTTTGGCTCCGTTGGATTCTCCAACTGTCGTCTTTTTTGCAGGTTGGATCTTCCCAAAATGGTGTGGTGTGCCTTTTCATTGATGTCCCTATCAGAAACGGCGAGAAGAGCCAAACAAAAACACCAACCACGGCCCAAGTCTTGCCCGGGAGCTTGTGAGCATCTGCGTGGTGAGCCCCGCGTTGCTCCGGGCCTGGCGGCTGCCCAAAGTCCAAAGCGGAGCGGCCCTTTTCAGCGCGGATTGCAGCTGGAGAAGTTGCGGTCAAGTCCAAAACGGTTTTTGTTGTTGGCACTCAAGTGCCAGCCAGGTCTGTGAATCATACTGGAAAAGCATGAATGCCAAAGCCTATGGGGCTCTGGCACGCCTGGAAAAAGCTATGACACAAAGCTAGAAAGCATTGAATGGGACTGCATCTGTCTCGTAGCAGCCTTCCTTTTCAACGCAGATTGCTCCGGAGAGGTCGCTGATATATCCAAAACAGTTCCCCGTTGGCACTCATATGCCAGCCAGGTCTATGAATTTAAATAAAATGAAAAGCTGCAAAGGTAGTGGATGCCAAAGCCCATAGCGCTTTGCATGCCTGGAAAAAGCTATGACACAAAGCCATAAAGCATTGAAAATGCTTTTTGTGCGCGCGAAGCACATGATCCCAGTAAGTCTCGCTTGCAGGGATGTGCGCTTCGCTCAAGAGCTGTCATGTATCCCTGAGGTAGAACCGGCAATCCTCCCAACTATAGAGGCAATCCATATATTCCATACATACATAAATACAGGCATGCATGCATGCATGCATGGAAACATGACACTACACTACATTTAGTGTCCGTATTATGGAAGTTCCTAAACTGCTTTGGCCACACATACTACACATAGAATATTTACCATAAAAACCATAAATACCATTCATACTATACATACCATAAATACCATACATACCATTACATGCCATACATACCATACTATACATAATACAAACCATGCATACATCATACCATACATACATACATTACATTACATTACATTAAATTACATTACATTACATTACATTACATTACATTCATACATTGCGTTACATTGCATTACATTACACTACATTACACTACACTACACTACATTACATACATTACATATACTGCATACATACATTACATTATATTATATTATATCACATCACATCATCTCACATTACATTACATTACATTACATTACATTACATTACAATACATTACATTACATATATTACATATATTGCATACATACATTACATCACATCACATCACATCTCATCACATCACATCACATTACATTACACTACATTACATACATTACATTACATTACACTACACTACACTACTTAACATTACATTACATCACATCACATCACATCACATCACATTACACTACCATACAGTACATTAATTACATTACAATACATTAAATTACATTAAATTACCTACACTACATTACATATATTACATATATTGCATACATACATTACATTACATTACATCACATCACATCACATCACATCACATCACATCACATCACATCACATCACATTACATACATTACATTACATTACATTACACTACACTACTTTACATTACATTACATTACATTACATCACATCACATCACATCACATCACATTACATTACATTACACTACATACATACATACATACATACATACATACATACATACATACATACATGCATACATACATACATACATACATACATACATACATACATACATACATACATACATACATACATACATACATACATACATACATACATACATACATTACATACATACATACATACATACATACATACATACATACATACATACATACATACATACATACATACATACATACATACATACATACATACATACATACATTACATACATACATACATACATACATACATTACATTACATTACATTACATTACATTACATACATACATTACATTACATTACATACATACATACATTACATACATACATACATACATACA